CCCAGTTACACTTTCTTAAGACTACTTTATACATCATTCTGTAGCCCGTGAAATTCTCTTTGGAATCATACATAAATGAAAGTGGTCAAGAACAAATTAAATGGATGGTAGAAACATAAATGAGGGTAATCTACCGGTTTGCTGAGATGCTACGGAGTATTTCGAATCTTAGACTACTCAGTTATATTTGCTTGTGATGATCTGATATCTCATCTTGTAGTCCGTGAAATTCTCTATCGAACGGTGTATAATAGTTGATATTTGCTGAAAGAGTGAAAGAGGTAGAATGAAGAAGATACTCTGAGTAAAGGTCATTTAACGAGCGAAGAGCATTTTTTGCTAAAATGTGTTCAGAGGTGCTGAAAAAAAATTTTAAGGTCTACAAATATGTTATGGTTAATCGCGGATGGAAACTGCATCGGACGAGTTAACGTAAGACTGATTTGAAAGGGGGCCGATTTGCGGTGTTATCGTGCCCCGTCATTTGCAGAAGTAAATCCGGTCTGCAAGCAGCGGATCATACGAGCGAGTCTTTAGACTGCCCTTCTGGACTAAGGTTTTATTGTGGAAAAGCAAATAATTAGAAAGAGAATTATTTTATTCCCTTTTGAAACAGTAGATTATAGTAAGAAAGTAGAACAGCGTACTTGACTTACAAATATCTAATATAAAAATTTTATAAATTCTTATGCAATTCTTATATGAATCTTATTCGGGGTGAAATTGTGATTGACCAAATTTCAATATAAAGTTGGTGTTTACAGCTACCGAATGGACTAACCCCCTCCCCCCATAATAGAAGATCACCTGGTCTTCTATTTTGTCCCACAAGTTCTAAAGGGTGGTCTTCTGTTGTGGTCAAATGGCCTGCTAGCAGTCCAACGGAAACCCTTACGTACTTGAAGTCCATCCCGTATTAGAAGTACGTTTTGGCTACATCTAACAGACAGCTACTGGCTGACTTAACAGACAGTGCATCTGATGCTTTTTAGACACAAATTTTAAAAATTATTACGTTATATTATTAGTATGTTATATATGTTCTATGTTATAATCCAACAGTTCAGTAGGAAGTTTCTACAGTTTTGCTTTGTAGAAGCAACGCTGACAAGCTTTTTCATCCATCACTTCATATGATTTGAATGTATAGATACAACAAACACAAACCACTACCGATCCTTAAGGGGGGGTCCCCCCACCCGTTTTTTTCTAGACGTTTGTGGAGGACACTTCGAAGTATACGTCTCAACAAAGCCTTCAGTTCCTGGATTTATAGTCTTTGATAAAAAAAAATTTTAAGTTTTTTTCCGGTTTTTTGCCCTATTTTTAAAATTTCAATAAAAGCTTCATTTTTTGATATGAAGAGTTGATTCTAGCGTAGTTCGATAGAAAACATTAATTTTTATAAGGAGAAAAACTTTACATCGTTCCCAAATAAAGTTTGACGGAGAAATTTAACTTTCACCGTCCCGAGGAAATTTTAGAGCTAAAAGTATTTTGAAAAAAGCCTTACGGCTAGTTTCGCTCGAAGCAAGCATTTTGAAACAAAACTCTTGATACAAAAGTTGGTCAGAATCGAATTCCGTAGTCCCACACGACAGCTTTTTTTAAAATTTTCTTTTTTGCTTTTTAAATTGAAAAATATGAAATTTTAGGATTTTAAAAACCGTAAAATTTAATTTAAAAATCAAGAACAGAAAATTTTAAAAAATGCTCTAGTGAGGGACTGCAGAATTTGATCCTGAACAACTTTTGTACCAAACGTTTTGTTCAAAATGCTTGCTTCGAGCGAAACTAACCATAAGGTGGGGTAAAAAATCTTCGCCGAGCCAAAAAGCAGTGATATTTTCAAGGTTTTAATTTTTCTTTAAGCCCTCCCAATTTGTAGAGCATACGTGGAAGTATATGTCCTGAAGTTTTCTCAGCTTACTTACATTATTTAACTGAGAAAAAAATTAATTACTTAAAAAAATGTTGTTAAATTTTTGAGCACGGGGTTATTATTATAAAATTTTCTGTCCATTCTCCATTCATCATAAAAACTTAGTTCTTGCCTAGATCGATGGAGAAATGTGTGGAGAATATTTACTACGAGAAAATATGTAAACATTTTTGTTCTTTTCTTCCGGTTATTGACTAATTAGTACTAATTAACATTAATTTAGCCTACTCTACTAGCTTAAAGTCCCGTTTGTAAAATAAGGACTCAACGAAAAATTTCAAGCAATATCTCATCTGATAGAGAATTACACGAGCTACAAGATAGGCTACCTTTAAGTCTGTTTTTATTCCATTAAAAATCTCAACATAGTCTTTGTTTCTAAAAAACATAGCAAGTTAGTGAATTCACTACTGTTAACGCCCAAAAAAAAGCAAGTATATAAAACTCATATCTCTAATGAGCTCCTGCTCCATATTCAGAAATATCACGTTCAGCTGTCAGTGACTTTGAACGAGCCTGTTTTTTCCGTTCAATTACTGTGTCTCGTTTTGCTACTACAGACCCAGCCTTAGCAAGACATTTTGTATCTTTTGCTAATGAACTCTTCAATAATGAATAATTAACATCTAATCCTAATGTATCGAAAAATGGTAACAGACCAACACGACCACGATTGAAAATTATAACTGCCTCAGCTGCTGCACCCCTAACACTAATAAAGCCATGATTTTTTGATTTAGACAAAATAGACCATATCTAAACACAGAACAGGTAGTAGGAATGCCAAGCTGAACAAACGGTTATAATTACCACGGAATTCAGAGACTCATTTGAATTCTGAGTCAGCCCGCGTAAACGTCTACGAAGAAGTTCAGAGTCTGTCAGATCCTGTCCAGATTATTTTGGATAAAACATCACGAAATACAGGATCCAATCGTTGCTTGACTTTATCACCACTTTCTGGTTGATTTGTATATTTTGATTTATGAAATGAGCACCAGGTATCCGAAGTAGTAGGGCAGTATTTATGCTGAATAGGTTTATTTTGATCATTAATATTATGATAAAAGGCTGCCATGTACTTTTTCTTCATCAATTGAACAGCTGTTTCTTCCTCCATGTCTATAAGGAGAAAAGATTATATTAGAGGGGAAAGAGAGGGGTTTTAGAAACCTACCCTTGGCTAACCGACTACCTTGTCTAATAGCCATACCATAAGACTCGGATAAACGTGTAATCATTTTGTCAGTCATTCGACCGCCTGAACCACCATAAAATTTCCCATCGGCTAACCTACAAAGTATTATTCTCTCTCAAGCTTATCGCTAGAATCACTAAGAATATTCTCACCATTGCCTAACCATAACCGGCTTTTTTTTGACAAATCTTCAACTAAAACATTCATTTTGGCCCGTTGAGATGTGAGACGGCTCACTACTCTCTTTATAACATGATTAATGCAGTCTTCTTTTTGCGCCAAAAATTTTTCCGATGTTGGCTGATCATTGGTGTTCTCCTTATCTTCATCCTGCTGTTGTATGTACGTATTTTTTACCATTTCATAGGCTGAAGCATCACCATCACAAACAAGGCGTTTGTAACGAAAACCATGTTCTGTAGATCTTTCAAAAATACGCCTGGCACCTTCAGCTTCCATTCCTAAAAGCAAAGGTTACAGTAAAAAAGTACCAAGAAAGAGACCTCGTTCCTACCGCTACGCACCTTTAGCGATCCCTGAGTAATTTTTGTGACAATTTCCACTGTGTGCTGAATACCGTTTAGCAAATAAAGACAGTGACAACGTTCTTTTTTTAGCTTCACAGCTTTCACATCTAAGCGACATAACTTCATAATCTAGCGCGTACCCCGAATCAATGTCAATCACAAACACCACACCTATAGAAAAGAAAGAGAGACAACTGCACTGACGCTTTTTAGAAACATCCCTTTATAAATACCATAATTCGAGACATGCCCACGTTTTTTCCACGAACCATCGAGAGACACCGTAACTTCCAAAATGCCGTCCGAATCAAGCTTTCTTCCTTCACGTATCTCATTTCTCATCGACTCTAGTTGCTGTTGAGCAAATTCATGCAGGCGAGAGTACATAGCCTGAACTTGCGGAATAAAATTGGATCGATTAGGAATACTCAGACACAAGGCAGACATCAATAAATTTACGGATTTGTATCCGATTCCTATGATAATATAAAACCACAATAAGCGAGCAGGAATGGAGGAATCAGAAGTTCACCTGTTAGAGCAGCAGCTGCATAGAAACGCAGATTTGGCTGTTGAACAGATGTGGAGACAGGTTTAAATTGGTTAAAGGGGTAACTTTTCGACACTTCGTACACCTAAGCTCATTAGCATGAAATCATTAGTATGAAAAAGACCGTAAGGTTGTTTAACATCACAAATAAGCTCCAGGCGTCCCTCTGAACAGACGTGAGCATTATTAAATTCTTCTTGCAGATGATTCATTTCAACTAATTGTGTCGATGCATGATTTGCTTCTCGAGATCTGGCTCTAGTAACAACAAGTAGCGTTCATCATTCTGATTCACTTATTCCTTGACTGGAAAGGAATCACCAATAGGAAATTATTTCTATAGAATATTATAATTATCTTTCTCGTCCACATTACATTGAGGGCTGCGCGATTACGATTACAAAATGTAAAGCTCAAACATTGC